GCCTCCCTGGCGCGGCGTCGGTTTTGCTGCTGCCCTTTCCCGCTCCGCTGTCCGCGGCCCCCGCCCGCCCCTGCCCCGCCGCCCCCGCGGTTGCTGCCCGCTGCCTGCCCTGCCGCCCCGGGTCTCCACCACTGCGCACCCCGCGAGGGGCGCCCGTCGCGCTGGCGAGTCGCCGCGCCGCTACGAACGAAAGTGTGTGTCCCGTCGTGCCTCAGCAGGGCAATGGTGTGTATCCGATCCTGGGCTCTGGAGGCAGGTCTGATCAAACACGGGCCCCCCGACCAGGATACGCGCAACGTCGGTCTCCGGACCCCCTTTTGGATCCCATCCAGCCAGAACTTTTTGCCCCAGCCTGATCTCTGCCGGTCCTTGGGGCCTGAGGCGGGCCCACCCGGGCCGAACATCGACCCTCGAGGCTCGAGCCCTCCCCCCGTGCTTACATGCTCGTTTTGGGGGCCAAGTTCGACTGGAGTTGACGGGCGTTGAACGCAGCTTCGACGCACGAGTGGGTCGAGCTACGCCACGAAAGCCCCAGCATTAGCATTTAACTTTGCTGGCCCGCATCAGGGGCACGTCGTGGGGGGCCAATGTCGCATATAGATCGCCCAGGCAAGGCCTGACCCAGGAGGTTTTTAGTTTTGACCCCCCCCTGACCTGTCGGCGGCAAATAATACTGGTCCTGACAACCTCCTCGTCGCGGCGGCGGCGGATTTTTTTTCCTAGATTGTTGGGCGGGCTCGATAATGCTTGGGGGTTATTTTTCCAGCTGAATATTCCTCTGTGGGCTTCCCTGTACGCGGGAGGATTTGGTAGCATCTTCTCATGAGGATTGCAATCCAAGCGTGCTTCGTTTTGATTCGTACGCTTGCTCTTCGTTTTGATTCGCGAGTTTGCCCGAACTTGCCTAGCACCGCTGGCAGAACTCTTGCTGGCGCCTGGTCGGCGCGCGCGGCGGCATGGGATCATTTTCCCTTTCTTGTTGGGCGGGCTGGGTCATGTTTGGGGGTTATTTCTCCAGCGAGATAATCCATTGTGGCATGGGATTACTTCCCCTCTATTGTTGGGCGGGCTGGGTAATGCTTTGGGTTTATTCCCCCAGCGGGATATTCCATGTTGAGCCACCCTGCACGCGGAAGGATGCGTGATCATCTTTTCACGAGGATTGTAATGCTAGCGTGCTTTGTGCTAATTCGTCAGTTTGCTCTTCGTTTTGATTTGCGAGTTTGCCCCAACTTTCTGCCTGACACGTCTGGCAGAACTCCAGCTGGCGCCTCGTTGGCGCGCGCGGCGACATGGGATAAGATCCTCTCTACTGTTGGGCTGGTTGGACAATGTTTGGGGGTCATTTCTCCAGCAGAATAATCCATTGCGGGGTACCATGCGCGCGGGGGGATCTGTGAGCAGCTTCCCATGAGGATTGCAATAAACAGGCGCTTCGTTTTGGTCCGGGAGTCTGTTCAAACTCGCCTGCCTAGCACTGCCCGGCAAAACTCCTGCTGGCGCCTGGTCGGCGCGCGCGGCGACGTGGGCTCAATTCGTTTCCCCGCTATTGGTGGGTGGGCTGGATAATGTTTAGGGGAATTTCTCTGGCGGACTAATCCACTGTGGCCTCTAGTGTTGGGCGGGCTGGATAATGCTTGGGGTTTATTTCTCCGGCGGGGTAATCCACTGTGAGCCACCGTGCATGTGGGAGGATTTGAGAGCAGCCTCCCATAGGGTTGCAGTGAACAGGTGCTTCGTTTTGGTCCGGGAGTCTGCTCAAACTCGCCTGCCTAGCACTGCTCGGCAAAGCTCTTGCCGGCGTCTGGTCGGCGCGCGCGACGACGTTGGATGCATTAATTTGCCGTTATTGATATTTGGGTGTAATTTCTCCGGCGGACTAATCCACTGGGCGACCCTGCGCGCGGGGGATTTGTGAGTATCTTCCCATTGGAGTTGCAATAGAAATTGCTTTGTTCTGATTTGCGAGTCTGCTCAAACCAGCCTGCCTCGCAGTGCCGGCGGAGCTCTTGCTCGTGCCTGGTCGGCGCGCGCGGCGACGTGGGATTTGTTTTCCTCGATTGTTGGGCAGGCGGAATAACCCTTTGCGGGCCATCCTGCGCGCGGGGAATTTCTGCGCATCTTCTCGCGAGGATTGCCGCAGCGATCAATCAGTGAAGTTCGGTGGCCTCGATAGCGATTAATCATTCAAGTTTCTGACTTGTCAGCTTCCGACGGGCGCGGTATTGACCTGCGATAGCAGTTTCGGGAAGCGCATAATCATAATTCAAATCGTGGGAGCGAGAGAGGGAGAGAGAGAGCCTGAGGAATGTCGTGTTCAGCGATGGATCATTCAAGTTTCTGGCTGATCAGCTTCCGACGATGGAGTCTTGGCTTGCCGCAATAATGACGGGCAACGGAGAATTCGGAGTCGACTCTGGAGAGGGAGGTTGACACCTTTCTGGTTCAGAATCGGTATTTTGATTGCATTCAGAAGCAATTCAAAGACTTATAATATCGAGATTCACTTACCCTACTCCTACCACTAGCCGCGTAGACCTATATGGATCTTCCGAGGGTCTATTCCGAAATTCGAAACCAGACGGGGCCGACTTGTATTCCGAAATTCGAGTGCTCGTTCCGCATCGAATATACAGTGTGAACAATCCGAATTCCGACATCGAACGTTCCGTATTCCGATTATCGAATAAATGGTTTCGGTGTTCCGACATACCGGTCCGCGTGTGCAAGGTTGTTTTTTCTTTGCCTCGACCTCCCGTTCTCTCTTCCGTCGTGCGTACTCCTCTAATGGCGTCCGCTTCCGTAAGTATTATGATATAATGGCTCTTGTACCGCGAGGATCAGGTTTCAGCGGGAATCAATGTGAGGAGAAATGAAATTTTGCAGCGACGTATCTGTGAGGTCAGAACGTGAATGCCGACGTCGACCTCGATGACTAATGTTTTGTTTTTAATTGAACGTAACGCACCCGTTGTCGTTCCTGATTTGTTCTTGTTTGGCAGTTTTAGCAAATATGTCGCCTAGGCCATTTGAGAAACTCGAGTAAGTTCGCTGTTGAAGCAATTTCAATCATTCCAGCAACAGGCAGTTTTTCCTGTTGTTTGAACAAATAAATAAGTTTACCACTAGCATGTCATGCAATTTAATCAATTTAGCATTATCAGATATATTCGCATGAACCGTATTTTTGAGCATTTCCCTAAATCGAGTAATCTTGGCAATTCCAATCAGTTGAAAAACTAGAGCAAGTTCAGTATTTTGAGCATGTTTGGTAATTCGTATGTTTTAGTTCGGGCAGTTACGAATTTTGATAGGTTTTGGCAATTGGAGCAATCCGAGACATTCGATCAAACAGATAATGTCGAAGACGTTTAGATCTCAGCCATTGGGTATTAGGGTAATTCATGTAAGTGTAGTGATGTAGGCCATGCTGAGCATCCTGATCAGTTTAATTGTTTCGAGCAATTTGAGCAGTTCAAGGAGCGGTACAAGGAATTTCGAGTATTTGGAGCAATTTTCAGTTTTCAGTACTTCGAACAATTTGAGCATTTTAGCAATTTGAGCATTTCGTGGAATTGAGATTGATTTTGCGTGTAATTTCAGAAATTTGGCCAACCTGAGTAGTGCGCATACTTTAAACAATTTGGATGGGGCCACATTGCACGCGGGAGGATTCGCGAGCGATTTCTCATGAGGATAGCAATCGGAGTTGTTTCGTTTTGATTTGCGAGTTTGCTCAAAGTCGTTTGCCTAATACTGCTGGCAGAAATCCTGCTGGCCCCTGGTCGGCGCGCGCGGCGTCATGGCGTTAGTTTCCCTCTATTGTTAGGAGTGCTTATTTTCCCATGGGGATAATCCATGTTGGGCTACCCTGCGCGCTGGAGGATTGTGAACGTTTTCCCATGAGGCTTGCAATAGGAGTTGCTTCGTTTTGATTCGCGAGTTTGCTCAACGTCGTTTGCCTAACACTGCTGGCAGAACTCCTGCTGGCGCCTGGTCGGCGCGCTCCGCGACGTGCGATAGGTTTCCCTCCATTCTAGGGCGGGCTGGATCATGTTTACAGAACTCGCCATCGTTTTGTAGTGTCCACGCGACAGAGGATGGACCTTGTGAGGGCCCGCGTGGGGCTTGAGCTTCAACGGTCAATTTCAGGATGGAGTTTTCAGGATCAAATTTCTGAGTGCCAAGTGCCTGAGCACATACTTTCTATGAGAGCGTTGCTGGCGGGTGCCGCGGGGGAAAGACATAGTTTCCTTCTAATGGTGGGGCACCAGTCCGTCAATAAGGCCGCCGCAGCAAAAACACATTCCATGTATTAGGGGGCGTTCTAAAGACCTTTCTCGGTTAGGGTAGGCCTATGGGGTAGGCGTTGGCCTAGGGCAGGCCCCCCCTTAGGTCTCTCCAAGGCCTACTCTTGGCTTGCCTTGGGCCTACCCTAGGCCAACCCTGGGGCCAACCCCGAGGCCTACCATTAGGCCTACCTTTCGGGCCTATCTCCAGGGTTATCGTAGGCCTTCACCAGGGCCTACCCCTGGGCCTACTCCCGTAGGCTTAATTTCCCCTAGGTATTTACCTAAGGTTACTCCAGGCCTACCCCGGGGGCTTATCCTTAGGGCTACCCTAGGCACTGCCCCAGGGGTGCCCCGAGCCCCGCAAAGGTTGGGCTCTTGGGTAGGCCATACCCTTGCCCTACCCTGGGTCCTTGTGTAGGGCGTACCCTAGGCTACCCTAGGCTTTTTGGGTCGGGCCTAGGGCCGCCTTCCGCCTGGGTGGTCTATCTCCGATGTCAGCATGCGCTGGCACTGCGCGTGCCGATGCGGTCGCGGCCCCCCGTGACCGCGTCGTGGGGAGCTGATGTCAGCATGCGCTGGCACTGCGCGTGCCGATGCGGCCGCGGCCCCCGCGGCAGAGGCACGTTTCGGAGGCCGCAGCCGCGCCGGCGCACGCCGAGCCTCTGCGCACGCCGACGCGGCCGGTGCCTCCGCAACGTGCCCAGCCAGGCACGTCCCGGGCATGTCGTGGAGGGCGGGCACCAGCTCGTGGTATCCAGGTGCGCTGTCGCGCGATCCCGCCATCGCGCTCCCCAGACATGCTCGCTTTGTGGAGAAATTGCGACGGAGGGTTTGGGGGCCCTCGCCAGGCCCCAGGACCGTAAAAAACGATTCGGGATGAAAAGCCAGGCCAAGGGAAGGGGTTGGGATTTCTGGGGACGCCGTTTTGGAAAACAAATATCGCATATGTGGGCTGGGCGGCCGCCTGGGGGGGAAGGGCCTCCTCTGTGGCCTCTTGGGCCCCCTTGGGGGCCTCTCGGGGTTTCTCGTGGGCCTCTCGGCCCTTCTCCTGGGCGAGAGTCCTGGCTTCGCAGAAGGATCGGGCGCCCATCGCACACCAACTGCTGCAGCCGGCGGTGGCGGACAAGTGCGACCAGTGCGGCCTCCGCGGCCACGGTGAGCGCTGGCACTGCGCCCGGCATTACCGCGACGTCTGCCGCGGCTGCGCGGCAGTCTCCGCGGGCTGCCTGTGCCAGGCCTGTGGCATCAGCAGCGCGGCGCTGGAGCGCCGTCGTCGTCGTCGTCGTCGTCGTCGTCGTCGTCGTCGTCGTCGTCGCCGCTGGTAGCGTCGTCCCCCTTCGCCTATATCGCTTTCATTTCTCGTTTTTTTTGTTTTTTTTTTTTTTTTTTTTGTTTTATCTCTCTCTCTCTCTCTCTATCTGTGGGTTCAGCGCTGTCAACCAAGCCTGCAGGGTGGGCCCTTCCATTTTTTTGCGCACTCCGGCTTTGGCTTGGGCTTCAGCTGTGGGTCCACCGCGAAGCGCCTGTGGTACAGCTCACCTGAGCTGATTTTCCGCCCGCATGGGTGCCTCCCTCCTCTCGCTTTGGGTGCCTCCTGGGCGGCTCTCGTGGCCACGGCCAGGCGCGGCTCGGAGGGGGAAGCGGTGGCCAGGACAGCGTCCACCGATTGGTCCTTCGACAATTGTCTGAGCGGGAGCGGATGGGAGGACCCTTCCCTGCCCCAGATTTCCATCGACCGCCACTGCTCTCCGCAGTGTGGGTGTCCCTCCCCGCACTGAGGGTGGGTGCGTCGTACCTTTCGTCTCGCGCACAAGGAGGACCAGAAAGAGAGAAGGGAAGAGGAGGAGGAGGAGCATGAGGATGCGTGGAGATTGGAGGGGGAGGATGAGGATGAGGATAATGATGCTTACGATGCTGCTGCTGAGGATGAGAATGAGGATGAGGACGATGATAATGATGATGATGATGAAGATGATGCTGATAATGCTGATGCTGATGTTGATGATGAGGATGATGCTGATGCTGATGATGCTGCTGATGATGCCGATGCTGATGCTGCTGATGATGACGATTATGACGATGCTGATGATGTTGCTACTGATGATGATGACGATGATGACGACGATGATGATGCTGCTGCTGATGATAATGATGATGGTGATGATGAATACGATGATGGTGATAATGACGATACTGATGCTGCTGATGATGAGGATGATGATGATGATGACTATGATGCTGATGCTGATGCTGATGCTGATGATGAGGATTATGGTTATGATGATGATGAGGATGAGGACGAGGAGGAGGAGGAGGAGGATCATCATTCCTGTGATCGTGGTCGTGGTGATGATGATGATGATGATGATGATGATGATGATGATGATGATGATGATGATGATGATGATGATGATGATGATGATGATGATGATGATGATGATGATGATGAGGATGAGGATGAGGATGATGATGAACAGAGGCAGTGATGATGATGATGATGATGATGATGATGATGATGATGATGATGATGATGATGATGATGATGATGATGATGATGATGATGATGATGATGATGATGATGATGATGATGATGATGATGATGATGATGATGATGATGATGATGATGATGATGATGATGATGATGATGATGATGATGATGATGCTGATGAGTAGTAGGAGGCGGAGGAGGAGGAAGATGAGGAGGAGGATCAGGAGGAGGAGGAGGATCAGGAGGAGGAGGGTGAGGTTGAGGAGGATCGGGGAGGACGAGCGACAGGAGAGGGGAAACCAGGATGGAGAGGGCAAGGATAATAATGGGGACGAGGTGGGCGATGAGCGAGGCGAGCACTTCGGCGGGATCTTTTTTTTGTTTTGTTTGTTGCTTTTGTTTTTTTTGCTGTGCGTCACATGTATGAGGCGTTTTTTTCGGGGGGGTTGTCGACTCGTCGGCCACCGCCTTCTCGACCCCTTCCCTGGGCTGGTTTCCTGGGTCACCCCTGGGGGCGCGAAGACGACTGAGCGTAGCGCCCTTTTCCAAAGTGGCCGCGCGAGTTCGCGAAGATAAGCGGCGCGTCCGCGCAGCGCTGGGCGCGATGCTCGAAGTTTGGCGAAGGAGGGTATTTCATCCCGAGCCGTTTCCTTGACGTCCTGCGGCGCATGGGGAACAAGGCCCGTGGGCCGCTGAAGGTCCATTTCAATCCTGTCCATTCGAGTCGATGTCGATTTCGGTCAGCCCGATCCGATTCGATTCCGGTGTTACGACGATCCGATTCGGTCCGATATTTGTATGCCGCCATTGTGCATCTTGGCGCAGCCGATATGATTCAATTTCGACTCCGTGCCGATGCAGCCCGAACCGACGCACATTCCGATTCGATCCGGTTGCTCGATTCGATGCTGACTGATCCTCGTGCGTTCCAGACTCGAACTGGATTGTGGCCCATTGCGTCGTTATCCTCGTGCACGCCTCTTGGCCCCACTTCTACATTGAAGTCGCCAGCAACAAAATGTTGTGCACCACAGTGGCAAGCTCTGTGGACGAGCTCGTCAAGAATAGCATACACAGCATCCACAAAACAGGTTTCAATCTTCGAGTGCAGCATGTAGACGCCAATAATCTGGAACCGTATTCCACGAACATAGATCTCCAGGTCTCCAGAACTGCAATTCTATCGCATACTGCTTGGAACGATCGGTACTTCCATCTGTTGTGTAATAGTATGCCGATGCCGTTTTTACCCTTACTACTCCCGCTTCCAAACCAAGTATGATTGTTATCTGTCGTGAAGATCTGGCGTGGTTCTTCCCTCCACGTTTGCGTAAAAACGAAAACGTTCCAATTTCTGCCACGAAGCTCAAGAAGGAAAGCTTGATCCAATTCGATTCCGATATTCCGACGTTTCGATGCGGCCCGATGTTTGTATGGCTCCTTCTTGCATCTTGTCGCAGCCGATATGATCCGATTTCGACTCCGTGCCGATGCAGCCCGAGCCGACGCACATTCCGGTTCGATCCGATTACTCGATTCGATGCTGGCTGATTCTGCGAGAGCGGCGCGCCGCTCTCCCCACCTTTTTGGCCCGCTCCAGCTGCACAGAATGGTGCCTTTGTTTGTGTCTCGGTTCCCGCCGAACGTAGTAACGAGGGATGCGCTTCCAACAAAAATCATCTATTCCAAACGCTCACACCAAATCATCGTTTTACAGGCTGGGTTAAAATGTGACAATCATGGTGTTTGAATCGAAACGCCGATTATCTGAAATGCCTAACAGGCCTCCCATGTGCCAAATGCAGTTTTTTAAGTTGCGCTTGCCCCCCCTTCCTGCCCCTCCCCATCCTCTCTCGTCCTCCCTGGAGGAGGGATGCGGATGAAGAGATGGAGGAGGAGGGTGAGGATGGGGGGGGGGAGGGAGGGAGGGAGGGAGGGAGGGAGGGACGAGGAGAGAGAGGAGGGGATTGAGGAGGAGAGGAGGAGGAGGAGGAGGAGGAGGAGGGAGGAGGAGGAGAAGGGATGCAGGAGGGGGGGTGGGGGTGGAGAAGGTGGTAGATGGAAAGGAGGAGGATGAGAAGGGGGAGGGGGATAAGGGAGGAGGAGGGGAGGAGGAGAGGAGGAGGACGAGGAGGAGGGATGAGAGGATGAGGGAAGAGGGAGGGGGAGGGAAGTGGAGGGGGGGGGGACGAGGAAGAGGAGGATGAGGAGGAGGAGGTGGAGGAGGAGGAGGAGGAGGAGGAGTAGGAAGAGGAGGATGACGTGTTATTTAGAGTGTCGGCTGTGCAATTCTATTTTTTGGACGAGCCGTTTTTCAATTCATTGTTCGGCCTGTCCAAATCTCCCCCGCGTGCCGGTCCAGAAAATCCTGCGCGTGCCCACTCGCAAAGTATGTTTTTGCACAGGCACGCGAGGATTTTTTGGGACAAGCCGAACAATGAATTAAGAAATGGCCCGTCCATCAAATACAAATACACAGCCGACACTCCAAATAACATGTCCTCCTACTCCTCCTCCTCTTTCTCCTCCCCCTCCTCTTGCCTCCTCCTCCCGCCTCCTCGCTCCGCCTCCCTCCTTCCTCCTCCCTCCTCCTCCCTCCTCCTGCCGCCTCCTCCTATCCCTCCTCCTCTCTCCTCCTTCCTCCATCCGTCCCCCTCCCTTCTCCTTCCTCCTCCTCCTCCTCCTCCTGCTCCTCCTCCCATCCTCCGCCCTTCTTTCCCCCCCCCCTCCTCCCCCCTCCTCCTCCTCCACCTTCTTCCAGCCTCCTCCTCCCTGCCACCTGCCTCCTCCCTCCTCCCTCCTTCTCCTCGAATGCGCAGCTGAGAAGTTAAAGGTTTCGGAAGGTCCTAATGCGATCGTGTTGGCGTGCATCGTCAGCATTAAAAAAGGGTGGATGCCCCCCCATCGTCGTCTCATATGGTAGAACTTGGAACGGCAGCGCGTTGCACGTGGCGCTTTCTTGGAAAGCCCTGACACCGAACTTCTTCGAAACCGACCTCCCCTGGAAGCCGCGCCTGCGGAATGTCCACGCGTGTCCTCATATCGCCAGAAGGTAAAAATAAGCGCCGATCCGTGCCAAAATCAGCCTCTAAGAAATTGCCATGTTGAAAACGCATTTTTCTGTTTTTTTGGAGCGCATCCCTCGTTACTACGTTCGGCGGGAACCAGTTTATGTCCGCGGTCTGAGAAGCCTCGAGCCTCGATTCTCGCCGAGTCTCGGGCTCTGCTCAAGGTGCCCCTGGCCTGGGGCGTCGCCAGGATTTCCAGTGAGGCCCCCGCGTCTTCAGAGCGCCCTTCACGAGGCCCAGAGGGCCCCATGGGCGCTTCAGTGGTGCGGGAAGCTGGGAGCACCCTGGGCCAGGGCCGCCTCTAAGCAACACCCGGTCGTCGAACCTCTGTCGAGGGCCCGCGACTGCCTAGAGGTCTGTGGTACAGGTCGAGCGATCACAGCAGTGGACAATGGATGTGTGGAGCAGGTACTCCGGACTCCATAATAAAGTGTGTGTGTGTATGTGTGTGTGTGTGTGTGGGTCACATTTTGGGGGGGGAGCGTCTGATTTGAGTTACCTTGGAGGGTTCCGCGGGGTATGGGCAAAGGGCCGCCCTCTCGTTGCTTGTCGGTGTCGTCTGGGAGGGATGTGACACCGTCCCTTTTATTACGAAATTGGGGAACAAGCTACAGTCAAGACGCTGGAATACTGACCAGTTTGGGCTCTGGATAGGCTCTGGTTTTTGGGTCGTTCCCGAGGTATGGTTCGGGAAAAGTGTTCTTGGCCGTGGCCAACCGCGGCCAGAGCAGATCATCTATTCCTTGTTCAGCGCTCCTTTCGCCTCGGAAGCGCCCCTTCGTCGCTCGAGTCAAGCGGCCGCAGACCCGCAATCGTTCAGCGCCCCTCATTCTACAATCTCCAGCGGCACTCTTGCCTTGACGTGCAGAGGCACTCCGCAGCCCAAGGCTCCACACGGAGGGCGAGGAGCCCGAAGGGGCGGGAAAGCACAGGGGGAAGCTCGAGGCACCCCGTCAGGTGGGCCTCGGGGACATCTGGGGTTCAAGAGGCCTCCGCAGGGCTCCAGGGACCTCTGGTGGTCGCCCATGGCAGCCGCGGAGGCTCACGGAGGCTTCCAGAGGCACAGTGCAAGGACCAGCAGCTCCCACACACGTCAATCAACGTCCCCAACCCTCGATCATCGATGCTCGCCGAGCTCCGATGCCGCTGCCGCTCGATGAGACGTTGTATGAGCTTCGATCATCTGGCCTGCTGCCCGTCCCGTGCCGCGTTGGCTTGGCGTCGTGAGCTTATGTCTGGACCCCCATCTCTCTCTCTCTTTTTTTTTTTTTTTTTCTCTCTCTCTCTCTCTCTCCTTGCGATCCTTCATCCTCTTCCCCAGGACCATTTTCTCATCCCGAGTCGTTTCTTGACGGCCTCCCAGAAGCCCCTGGAGGCCGACAAAGGGCTTCAGAAGTATACGAGCAGTAATCCCCACAAGCGTCCAATAACCTCGATCCTGGATCCTCGTCGACCCCCCGATACTCGAACACTTTCGATCCTCGCTCAAAAACCTCGACCCCCGATCCCCGCCGATCCTCAATCCTCAAAAAATCAAGACCCGACGGCGGCGGCGGAGGCGCTGCTGTTATTATTATCATCATCATCATCATCATCAACATCATCAACGTCATCATCATTGTCGTCGTCGTCGTCGTTGTCGTCGTCGTCGTCGTCGTCGTCGTCATCGTCGCAGAAGCCGTCGCCGTCGCCGTCGCAGAAGCCGTCGCCGTCGCTGTCGCCGCCGTCGCCGTCGCCGTCTCCGTTGCCGGCGTCGTCGTCGGCGATCCTTGGTCGTTGTGGTCGTCGTCGATCCTCAATCTCCGTCGTTGTCGTCGTCCTCGTCGTCGTCGTTCGTCGTCCTCATCCTCGTCCTCGTCGTCGTCCTCGTCCTCGTCCTTGTCCTCGTCGGCCCGCGCACGCCCCGCGAGGACGCCCGTCTCAGCCTGGAGGACTTCGTCGCGGTCCTGTCGCGGGCCGGCGGCGGGGCCACTGCGGCCGACGTCGAGGCGCCGCCGCCTCCGCTCGGCGCGCCGCTCGTCGCCGTCGTCCGGGGGATCAGCCATGGCATAAACGAAAACTTTCGGGGTCCACGCGGATTTCTCGGATCGGCGCTTAAGCCCCTCCAGCGTCGATCCGAGAATTCCGCGCAGGCCTCCGAAAGTTCTCGTTTATACCACTAGTTATTCCACTAGTCATTGCCGTCGTTGTCGTTTTCGGTGTCGTCGTCTTCTCGGCCGCCGTCTTCGCTGGCGGCGGCGGCGCTGCTGTCACCGTCGTCGTCACTGGCGTCGTCGTCGTCGTCGTCGTCGTCGTCGTCGTCGTCGTCGTCGTCGTCATCGTCGTCGGCATCGTCGTCGGCGCCTTCCCGGCGCCTGGGGGACTGGCTCTTGTCTTGCCCGACCCGCTAATCTTGGGCTCGATGATGGGGCCCCGATGGAGGAGCGGGGCCTCAAGGATTGGAGCGAGGCTTCCGGGCCGATTCTGCGCTGTCCAAGGCCTCCTCGCTCCAGGGCTCCACGCCTGCGGACGCCCTAATCCTCCCCAAAGCGTTCGTGCAGAGTGGTGCTGGCGCCTCAGTGCTGGCCACATCCCTGGTCGGGAAAGGTGCTCTCGCTTCAACGCCGGCAACATCATTGATTGAGAACAGTGCTCTCGCCTCTGCGCTGGTCACATCCTTGATCCAGAATGGTGCTGTCCCCTCAGCGCTGGCCGCATCCGTCATTGGGACCACCGCGGAACCCTTGCCACAGTGTGCACTTTTGTGTTGCTACATGCTGGGTTTCTCCATCCTGGTGGTTTTTGTTGGCAGCCGCGAGCGCGCGTGGCACACGGGTGTCGCCGAGCCGTTGGTTAGATCAGTTCTGATAGGTCAGATTAAGCTTGGCGTAGTGTCGATAGGAGCTAGGTCAGGGCAGGTCAGGGATGTAGGAGGGAGGCTTGTGAGCGCAGCATCTTGCATTCTTGCATCCCGCATGTCGGCAACTCGTGCGGATCATGGGGAAACGCACTCACAACGCTTTAATGCATCCAGCTGCTCTCCTCCCTCTCCTCCCCTTCTGCTTCTCCTCCTCCCCGGGGCTGCTTCTTTGGAGCCAGACTGGGGTAAGTCTGGCTCGCAGCCTAGTGCTAGCCGGCGCGTGTTCTCTTCCTCCTCCTCTTCCTCCTGCTCGCTTCCCCCATGTGCCTGAGTCCTGGGCTATTGCTGTTTTTTTCTTTCATTGCCACGTCCCGCACACGACGATTAACGGTGCGTATTCTCATCAGCCGGTCAGTGCCATCGGACCGCTGGAAAAATATCTTGCAGTCTCCAGCTGCTGGTGATCATGTCCCTTCTCCCTCCCCTCGCCGTCCACATTACCACACCCTCGCGCTCCTTGCCTTGCTTCTTCTCGTCTCTGTTTTTCTCGCCCTCCTCGTCACAGGTGGATTCTTTGGCTCCAGCTGGGCATGCCCGCACACCCGCACCTGGCTGCTGTTCGAGTGTAGATCTACTCTGGCATGGGACCAAATGTCATGTCCATCTGGGCCACCATCGGTATGGACAGCATCGGCAGTGCCAGCGCTGTTGCCACGAAACATCAGCAGCCCACAGGCATCACCGATCTGATTCACAGGCTTACGCCGCACCGCCGATCCCTGGGGGGTCAAGCTGCGGAGCCAGCAACAAGCGACTGGCCCTTCAGCCCACCCCGCCCAGGAGCGAGCGGCTTCACTATCGGCGGCCTACCACGACATATCTATATCTATATCTAGTTATATATAATAGTTATGGCTATATATACATATATCTGTATATATGCCGATATATATACACATATATGTCTATATCTACATATATTTCTATATATATATATATATACTTTGTATATATATATATCAGTATATATACATATATATATACACATACATTTGTCTATATCTATATCTATATCTATATATAGATATATCTACATCGATATCTCTATATATATGTTTACATATGTGGACATGTACGTACATGTACACATATACCTATATATATATATATATATATATATATATATATGTATATATATTTATACGCATAGCGGGGGACCGGGTCTGGGGGCCCAGGGCCAGAACCTCGAGCGCGTGGACTGGGCTGCCCGTGGCCCTGCCAGCGCGCTAGAGGCCTTCCAAGATGGCCTGAAGACGGCCCTGGATCGTTTGAAAACGTGTGTCGCGATTGCCCAATCAGCCCTCGACAGACCGACGAGATCGCCCAGAACTGGCCCCCCACTGTCCAAGAAGCCTCCAAGACGCCCCAAGAGGCCTCCACGAGGCCTCCCCGAGAGGCAGAATTCATGCATTGATCGTGGGTTTTTTGATGGATTTTGGTTTCTTGCCTTTTCGGCTTCCCAACGCTCCAAGGCGGCCCGAGACACTTCCAAGGGCGCCCCAACGCTACCCAGAAGGCTCCTCTTGGGCCCTGCCAGCGCGCGGGGGGCCTTCCGAGATCGCTCGGAGACGGCCCTGGATCGTTTGAAAACGCGCTTCGAGACCGGCACAACGGTCCATGACGGAAGGAGGCCTTTTGGTCCGTCTCGGGTCGTTCGTCAGGGCTTCTGATCCAGTTTCCATTTTTTTCTCTCAAAAGGAATGGGGCAATTTTGGCTTGTAGTGGCCCTGGTGGTGAATCCTTTGAGAGCCAACCTGAAGCGTTTGTGGGTCCTTTGAAGGCTCTCCAGGGGCGTCTGCGGCGCCGTGCGGGCCGTCTTGGGGCCGTCTTGGGACAATGACAGTGTTGAGCCGTCCTGTGGCCATGGGCAGTTTTGAGCCCGTGTCGAGGTCTTGTTGGGGTCTTTGGGGCGTCTCTGGGCCGGCCCGGGGCCGCCTGGAACCGTCGTGGGGCCTTCCTGGAGGCCTTTTGTCCCTCCGTGGAACCGTCCTGGGGCCTCTCTGGACAGAGCCTCCGAACCAATTTGCCAACAAATGTTGGTCTTCCATGAGGAACGATCCAAGTCCTCACGCTTCGCGTATTCGCACCAGACCGGCTGGCTTACGCACGTCGTTTGTTTGAAGTCTGGCGCCACAATGGCGACTCACTTCATCGGCCTTCCCATTTTCACTGGGCACAGAGGCTTGCCCACTGTGGTAAGGTGCTTGCGCCCGTCAGGCGTTGGCCACTCGAATTTGGTCATTTTGTCCAGTGCACGTGCCCGTGCTAACAGTATGTTTAGCCAATTCGCCTAATTCGCGTCCCGGACTTTGCTCTCGCCGCCTGACCGTCGTCTCGCGGCCGCGACCGAAAAAAAAAAGTATTCGCACCAGCCACGCGGCTGCTTTGTGAGTGGGCCGGCCGGCTAGCGGCGCGTGTTGTAGCTAATTAGGTTTGCCCGTTGGCCCGGACACCCTGCTCGCCGCGCGCGCTCTTCGCCCGCGGCCGCGACCGAAAAAAATATTCGCACCAGCCCATTCAGAAGCCCTGCCTGTGAGAGCTGACGGTGTCACGTGTCCAAGTCGCCCAGGCGGATGTCTAACATGAGGATTCGTGCAGGGTGTCTGGAGCGAAAGGATGTTTCGAGCGAAAAACTTGTTTTCACGCGTCCAGGTTGTCCAGGCAGATGTCCAGAATGAGGAGGTGATGAGACAGTTTCGAGCGAGACGCTTGGTTTCACTTGTCCAGGTCGCCCAGGCGGATGTCTATGTGTTGAGGATGGCTCGAGCGAGACGCTTGTCGCAGTAGAGTGCATCGCAGTCCAACCCCGCCCGTCCGTCGGGCGTCCCCTGGCCCCTGGCGCGCTGGCGCGTCCCCTCGCGCGTCCCTTGAGACGTTCTGGCGTGACGTGCCCTGGCACGCCCCCCTAGCACGCCACTCGGCGTGCTGCGCTCCCTGGCCCGTCCTCTGTCGCGTTTTCTGGCTCGTCCCCAGGCGTTTCCCCTGCCCGTTCCGTGGCGCGCCCCTTGCAACGTCCCTTGGCATGACGTTCCCTGACCGTCCCATGGCACGCGCCTTGGCACGTCCCGTGGCAGGTCCCTGACACGTTCAGGGCACCTCCCCTGATAATTGCGCCCTTTGACACGCACCCTGGCGCATCCCCTATTGCGCCCCTAGCACATCCTGTGGCGCGTCCGTGAGCCTGTGCTCCGTGTCGTGTCGTTCCTTTTCGAAGCTGAGTCCCGCACGTTTCCACTTCAACTAGCTCTGGGGCAGCTGCTCTGCGCTCAGGCAGCCCGAGCTTATGATCCACATCAGTTCGGTCAGGATTCGGATGCAAAGGATGACTTGATCCACAACGCTACAGAGCACAATCGCGGCATGGCACATCGCAGCTCAGCACGGCGCAGCACAGCACAGCATTTGGCACGGTACATCAATATCGGTTCATTCAGCATTGCAATTGCCCGTCGCCCAATCAGTTGTCTTGAAGACGTTGCCATGCCTCACATGTCTGTATTCCTTTCCGGGCTCGTGGGTCGATCATGTTGAAGGATTTTGGCTTCTCGGGGAGGTACTGAGTGGGTCTCCGAGGGCACTTAGAATCGTCTTGTGGCCCTCTTGGGGCCTCTTGGAGGCATGATGGAGGCCATCTTGATCAATTTTGCTCTAGCTTGAAATATCTTGGAGGTCATCTTGGAGCATCGGAGGCCCTCTTGGAGCCATCTTGGGCGAACAGGACCCTCTAACGACCCGCGTCCCCCTCCCAAAAACTCCTGGGAGGGGTACCCCTCCCCGAAGGGAAGAGGGGTTTCTCTTGGGAGAGGAAAGGAACACATCGTTAGACCAGCTAGGCCCAGAGGGCTGGTGCGACTAGAAGCACTTTCAACTCGTACCAGAGATTTTAGCACGTGTGTGGCCCGTTGGGCCGGCGAAGTGAGCCGCAGAACGTGAGTCACGGCGGGCCCCCAGGGGGAAGCTTGCACGCAGATTGTACAATCAGTGGGTGTTAGGGATACTACCTCGACGAGGGTCGGTGCCAATCGTTGCAATGTTTCTGGGGGCCATGTTGGCGTTCCGTGGGGGGTCGGACGGGCTTTGTGTATTCATTGGGGGCGAAGTGCGTGAGGGGTGCCCCGAGTTTAAGCTCCACTGAGCCGACTGAGGGGTCAGCTGATCAGTCGCATTTTCTCTAGTATTTTCACGTGTCCCTGAAGAGTGTGGGGCAGGACATGCGTGAGGGATGTGCCGAAATGACAGTGCCGTAACCATGAAGGCGTTGCCCACTCGTATTTTGATGCGTCCCAGAATCATGTCAGAGAGGATGTGCGTGAGGGGTGTGCCGAAACGATCCTTTCGTAGCCTTGGGGGCTCCGATCGCTCGTGTTCTTACGTGTCCGAGGAGCTGTCACGCGCGTGGGCCTAGCGCTGGGAGCACGTTTCATGTGCCCCAGAGGATTTTATACAAACATTGCCTCATCGAAACATCATCGGCCAGCGGAATGGACGAAGTCCCTCATAGCATGCCTTATGCATCTCACTCTCCTCCATCACCATCCATCTCATCATCTTGTCTCGACGCCTAACACGGCGAGTGCCCGCAGGGGGCCCGCTGGATTGAATCGCTTCGCTCATTCAATTGGCCCACTTTGAATCACTGGTGCTCCATGCTGGTGTGCTCGTGGCGAGCGAGGAGGAGGATGAGGATGAGGAGTCGGAGGAGGATGATGATGATGAGGAGGAGGAGGAGGAGGAGCAGGAGGAAGAGGGGAGGACGAGGATGAGGCCTCTCGATGGCTCCTTGGGGTATCCCTTGACAAGACTGGGTCGTGGACAAGACTCCCCTCTGGGAGGCCTCTCGGGGCCTCTTTGGGAGGCCCCTCGGCGGCCCCTTGATCCCCGATCCTCGATTTGCGTCGACCCTCGATCGGAAATATATTTTTGCCTCCCCTGGGGCGCCCTCGTGGCCGCAGGCGAGGATCCGCCCCGCAGGCCTTGGCCATGTGCTGCGTCCAGGGGAGATGGGGCCTCGTGCGGAGATGGCTGGGCCTCGCGGCCTGGGCATGGAGAGCCTGTCCTTCTCCACGGGCGGCGCGAGGGCTCGCATGCAGGCCGCACCCTCGAGCAGGGCGCAGCGCGAATCTAGATACCCTTACTTTCTCTGTCTCTGTCTCTCTTTGTCTCTGTCTCTGTCTCTCTCTCTCTTTCTGTCTTTCTGTCTGTCCGTCTGCCGTCCGCCTGTCTGTCAGTCTGCCCGTCTGCTTGCGTGTCTGTGTGCTTGTCTGTCCGCCTGTTCGTCTGCCTGTCCGTCCGTCGGTCTGTCCGTCCGTCGGTCGGTCCGTCTGTCGGTGAGTCTGCCTGTCTGCCTGTCTGCCTGTCTGTCTGTCTGCCTGTCCCGTCTGTCTGTCCGTCTGGCTGGCTGCCTGCCTGCTTGCCTGCCTGCCTGCCTGCCTGCCTGTCTTTCTGTCTTTCTGTCTGTCTGTCTGTCTGTCTCTCTCATCGCTCCCGCCGCCCGTCCGGTGTTCGGCAGGTGTGCTTCCAGCGCATCGTCGGAGACGACGGGCTTGCTAGCGTGAACGACCTCGTGTCCTTTGTGTGCCCAGGGTACCCGGAGAGTCAGAAGAAGCGCCCCGACTGGGACGACGGCGTCAGGGAGCAGCTCAGGCGGGCCTGCCTGCCACGGCGGCGCGCGGGTGGGAGCCAGTATCGTTTAGCTCATCTCCATCTCCACCGGGCCGCGATATCTCAGCCCCACCAGCCCACCGCCCCAGTGGGGGACAGGCCCCTCGAAGCCCGAAGGGAGCAGCCCAGCTCCCCTACCCAGGGGGGTAACTCGGCCAGTGGGGCCCAGGCCGCGCCAGTGGGCACGGGGGATCGGTGAAGCGATGCTCGGGGAGCGGCGCGAGCGGGGCGGCCGTCGGAGTGGGCCACGGGCTGCCTCCTCCTCCTCCTCCTCCTCCTCCTCCTCCTCCTACTCCTACTCCTGCTCCTGCTCCTGCTCCTCCTCGTCCTCGTCCTCGTCCTCCTGCTCCTGCTCCTCCTCCTGCTCCTCCTGCTCCTCCTCCTCCTCCTCCTCCTCCTCCTCCTCCTCCTAAGAAGCCTTCTTAGAAGCCTCTGGCCCTTGCCTTCTACGAGCTCCCCGCCTTCTTAGGAGCCTCTGCGCCGCGGGCAGCGCCAGCCCTCTTGCCTTCTCTCGGAGGCCCAGAGGTTGTCACTAATGCCAACCTCGGCTGTCGCCTCCACCGAGGAAAGGTGATCCCGATTTCGGTGATGGCAGTAATACTCGGGCCTCCATGGTGGCCGACACATTACTACCAAAATCAAAGTCTGGTGTTATCTGCCCCCAGTGGAGGCACATCCCTCTCCCTGTTTTGGTGTTGGTGCCCGTTTCCACTTGGCATCGCTCGGACGTGTTTTTTTCTCGGCGGGGATTATTGATGAGCATCCTGGAGCATCTTGCGAGAAAGCACGCACGAAACCGAACAATGTTCGGGGAATGGTCGTCACAGCGATGGCAGGTTCCAAGCCTTTAATTTTCAGGAGGCCTTCGAAGGACGTCCCCCCCCCTCCTCGCCCTCTCGGACTTCTGTCTCTCCTCGCTGCGCTCCCCCTCATCTTGCGCGCACCGGGCGCTGTTGCCGACTCCTTCTTCCCCACCGTGGTCCTGGACGGTAGCAGAAAACGAAGCGTGGACGCCGTCCCCCTCTCCCCCCGCCTCGTCCCCCGCGCGCGGGAGCAGTAGTGGGAGGCTGAGGAGAGGGGGGAGGGGGATGATGATGGTGTTGGTGGTGATGATGGCGGTGTTTGTGGTGACGAGGACTTGGGGTCGAGGACGAGATGGAGGAGGAGGAGGAGGAGGAGGAGGAGGAGGAGGAGGAGGAGGAGGAGGAGAAGGACCAGTGTAGACCAAAGACGCATCAACGATGTTGCCTTAAACCCTCCCTCCAAGTTCCCTCTTCACAGGTCCAGACAATAGTGTATTGCCACTGCGGGAAAGGCACCATCGGAAGACAACCATCTGGAGACTCCTCAAATGTGTCAAAACACAATACCTGGGACTCCAGCGCCGCGAATCAACGTGACTGTCTCGTCCTGACATTGAAATCGTGCCAGAACGCAGTTCCTGGGACTTTAGCACCGGGAATCAACGTTACTGTTTCGTCCTGACAATTCGAAATAGTACCAGAACGCCATTCTTGTGATTTCAACCATACGTTTCTTTGAAACTGTTTTGAGCTCTGACGACAATTGTGCGCGGCGCTGAGGCGAGAGCTGCATTTTGAAAAGGACCCGCCCTTCATCCTTGAACCTGCTGCGAACTTTACGACGAATGTGCGCGGCGCTAAGGCGAGAGCAACATTTGAAAATTCACCTGCCCTTCATCCGTGAAGTGGGTGCAAACTTTCAGAACGAATGTACACAATGTGCGCGGCGCTCGGGTGAGAGCCACGTTTTGAAAACTACCCGCCCTCCATCCGTGAAGCTGCTGCAAAGTTTTAAGATGAAAACACGCGGCGCTAATGCGAGAGCCACATTTTGAAAACCACCCGCCCTCCATCCGTGAAGCTGTTGCAGTTGCCAAGCTTCAGGGTCATAATAGTTGAGGAAGTCTCGGGCGAAACGCCCAGCCCGCCTTACTGACACGTTTGGGGATGCGACAGGGATGAGTTATTGTGAAGACCTTACGGCTGGTGCCGCCTAGCCTGAAAGGAGACGGCGACGACATCGGCGGCAGCGGCGACGACGACGCTGCTGACGTGGGCCAGAGTCCTCAGGGATGCTTCTTGGGGTCTCTTCGGAGGGCTCTCGGGGGCCTCTGGGTAGAAATGTTTGGGCCTCTTGGGAGCCTCTTGGGGGCCTCCTGGGAGCCTCTTTGGGGCCTCTTCAGGCTTCCTGGGGACCTCTTGTGGCCTCTTGCGGCCTCTTGGAAACCTCTTGGGCCCTCCTGGGAGCCTCTCGGGGCCGAGGGCTCGAAATGTCCGTTCGGGTCCGTCGTCTTGGCACGCTCTTGGAGCTGTCTTGGAGGTGTCTTGGGCCGTCTTGGAGGCATTTCGGCCTGTCTTGGGGTCCTCTTGGGCTTTTTCGGGGCCCTCTTGACGGCCTCTTGGCCGTCTTAGGGCGATCTTTGGGGCCTCTTGCGCCGTCTTGGAGCGGCGGGAAGTGGAAAAGGCGAGAACGCCCAAATCTTCAAAATCAATGGAACATCAATGAATTTGGCTTCTTGGGGTCCTCTCGGGAGTGCTCTTGGAGGCTTCTTGGGGCGTCCTGGAGGCCTCCTGGGCTGTCTGGAGGGCGTGAAGGTGTTTTGGACCGACCGTTTGGGCGGCCCTCTTGGACCTTCTCGGGGGCCTCTTAGGGGCACTCTTTGCCTGTCATGGTACTTTCTGAGGCCCCCTGGACCCTCAGGGGGGGATGCGCATCTGACCCTCCCCCCCTACCCCTTCCCCCCCCTACCCCCCCTTGCCCCTCCCCCCCCCCCCGGGACCCTTCCCCCCGACGGGGGAGGGATTAAAGGGAAGGGGCTTCCTTTGTCTCGATTGCGACATTGCTAGATATTTCTCTCGCTGAGTAGCTTGAGGAGGGTGCGGGGAAAGGAAACGACGGAGACGACGACTGACGGAGACGACGACTCGAACAGACAAGCCCCTCACACGCGCCGACAATGTCGGCGGATTTATGAGGGAAGGGTCAAGGAGGAGTGACATTGAGGATGCTGCGGAGGAGGACAAGGAGAGGGACGATACGGCCGCGAGCTCGGCCGCAGGTCGGCCTCGTCGACCAGGGCTTCAGACATCGACTCCTCGCCTCTGTAGAGCGTGCGCTCCCAGATGACCGTGGGAAGGGAGGTGGATGGGAGGGATCCTCCACCACCTCCTCCACCGTCCTTCGCCTCTCTTTCTACTTCCCCTCGCCTCCTTCCCCTCCTTCCCCTCCTTCCTCTCCTCCCGCTCCTCCTTCCCCCTCCTTCTTCCCCTCCTCCTTCCCCCTTCCTCTCCTCCTCTCCTCATCCTTGTCCTCCCCCCCGGGGACTCTGAAGGACAGGTCGGAGACACTCAAGACCCGAGCGTGCCGGAACCCGGGTCTGCCGCCGCTTTTTGACGGTCCCAGCATTGAATTTGACAGCACAGTTTTCGTGAAAATTTTGCGGCCAGAGCTCGCGTCTAAGTTTAGACTGGGCCCCGCTATTTTACTGAGGGTCCCTTCAACTCGATTTCCCCAACCTCGAGTCTGACGTCGCCGCGACGTGAGTTGTGGACATGGGAGAGGAGGGAGGCGTGTGTGAGGTGTGCCCGCGCCACATCTGATACCGTGCCCCTCACCGCTCCCTTCGCATTGCGTCAGATTCCCTTTCTGTTTTGCCCAGCCAGGGTGTCAAAACTGATCTGTATCTAGAAATACCTGATCCGTCGTCTATTGTACTCGGCGCATGAGGCCAGAAGGAGCCAGGAAGCGCGTGGAGATGTCGCACGATGTTTGGATGGAGAGACGAGTCGTTCAGTTGAAGAGTGTCGTGCGCATATAAGCAGGACGGTTTAGGAGGAACTAGGAGAATAGGGGATGGGAGGCTGAGTGGGAGCGGCAGGATGGCAACGAGGCGGAGCACGAGGAGAACGACGAGGAAGGACGATGATAGTGTTGTTGGTGGTGGTTGTGATGCGATGACGATGATGGTGATTGCGATGATGACGCGAGTGCTAATGCTGCCATTGAGGATGATGGGTGAAATGGTGCTCATGTTGGCAGTGCTGATGACGATGATGACGACGTCATGACGGTAATGATGATGATGATGATGATGATGATGATGATGATGATGATGATGATGATGATGATGATGATGATGATGATGATGATGATGATGATGATGATGATGATGATGATGATGATGATGATGATGATGATGATGATGATAATGATGATGATGATGATGATGATGATGATGATGATGATGATGATGATGATGATGATGATGATGATGATGATGATGATGATGATGATGATGACGATGATGAGGATGAGGATGAGGATTAGGATGAGGATGAGGATGATTATGCTGATGATGCTGATGATGATGTTCATGGCGCTGATGACGAGCATAGTATTCATGTTGATGATGATAACGATGACCATCTTGCTGTTGTAGCTGTTGTGGTTGCTGTTCTTATTAATGTTGCTGTGGTTGTTGCTGCTGTTGATGGTGTTGTTGGTGTTGTTGCTGCTGTTGTTGTTGTTGTCGTTGTTTTTGCTGTCGTCGTAATCGTCGTCATCATCGTCGTCGTTGTTGTTGTTGTTGTTGTTGTTGTTGTTGTTGTTGTTGTTGTTGTTGTTGTTGTTGTTGAACTCGCATTCCTGAAGAACAATTATTGTTGATCCCCTACTGGTGCATACGTTTTTTTCTCAATCAATGTGTGCCCCTCGACGCTCGCACCCAGTTTTCGGACAGGGAAAGTCTTGATGCTCAAACTGTGCCCCTGGTCCCCAGGTTACAACAACAGCGGCTCCCGCCCGAGATTTCCTCACAATTTAGCCAGGACCCCCGCTCCTGCCTGAGACTTCCTCGCATTTTATTCAGGAATCGCGCTCTCGCTTGGGACTTCTTCACAATTTATTCAGGAATCGCTCTCCCGGCGCCCTGGAGTCGCGCTCTCTCTGGAGCCTTGCTTGCAATTTACTGACGAATAGCGCCCTTGCGTTGGAATTCCTTGCAATTTGCGAAAGCGCCGCGCTCCCGACACCCAGGCACCCAGGAGTCGCGCTCACGCTTAGGACTCCCTCACAGATTACCTAGGAATCGGGATCTCGCAGCCCTTCGTGGCCTCGTTGCAGCCCTTCGTGGCCCTCTCGCGTTGGTTCGCGGCCCCGTTGGAGCCCTTCGTGGCCCCCTCGCTTTGTTTCGTGGCCCCGTTGCAGAATTTCTTGGGCCTCGATGCGTCGATGGGCTCGGATTGGGCTGGCGACGCGTGCGCGAATGCTGAGTTGGATTTGCCTCGCGCGTATTGCGTCTACTCTCTTTACAGGGCTCATCTCGCCGTTCGACATCACGCCATCGAGGACTCCGACGCCGGCTCCTTCTGCGCGGCCGTGCTCAAGGAGGCGTGCAAGAACGAGCCGCTGAGCCGCTTGTAGCAGCGCTCGCGAACCCGCGGGCGAGGTTAGCTGGCGCCGGCTTGGGCGCCCGGAGGTGCTGCCCCTCCCTCCTTTTCCCTCCCCTTCTTCCCCCTCCTCTTCCTCTTCCGCCTCTTCCTCTCTATCTGAGGCGCCCGCGCCGCGGGGAAGAGGAAAAGTAACGAATTTCCCCCCCTCGGTTGTGCGCGCCAGCAGCTCTGGGGCCGGAACAACCGCCCCAATTTCCGCCCCTCGGGGGAGTGGCCAGCTTGGCGGCGTGCGGATGCACGGTGGAGCTTCGTTGCTCGGCGTTGTGTCCTCTGCTCCCCTTTCCCTCCCTTCCTGCCTTCCCCTCCTTTCCCTCCCTCCTTTCTCCTCCTCCGACTTGTGCGCCTGGCACTCGCTGCCGTCCCAGAAGGTCGCTTTTGAGCAACTTGTCACACGCACTTGGCAGGCACGGGCCGTCTAGACTGTTACTGTTTATGTTGAGTTTCTTGCCCCGCCGCCCCCTCCTGGAGTCGAAACTGTGTGCGCTTTGTTTTTTCTCTTGGGCCAGGCGACGGGGCCTGGCGCTCACGAGGTGCGATTTAAGCTGCCTCTTCCATAGCTGTGGTCGGGTGGGCGGTCTCAGGGTCCGGAGCGCCCTCCAGGCCCCAAGCGCTCAGCTCGAGCGCTCCTCTCCTCCTCTTCCTCTTTCTCTTCCTCTCTCTCTCTCCCGCTCCTTCCTCTTGAGGTGTGCCAGCTTTTCCAGCCGTGGAGTGCCACGGGAAGTCACGATGAGGCCGCGCACCGAGTCCGTGACAGGGGATTCGCTGTGCGGAGGCCCAGTCGGTCTGTCCCAGCCGCGTGGCCGATAGATTGCGCGCGCGGCAGTTCCCCCTTCTCCGCCTTTCTCCCTCTTCCGCTCCCTCCTCTCTTGGTGTGCCGGCCCATCCGGCAGTGCACTGCAACGGAAAGTCTCGATGAGGCCGCGCACCGAGTCCATGACAGGCGATTCGTTGAGCGGAGGCCCAGTGGCTCTGTCCCGGCCGCGTGGCCGATAGTCTGCGCGCGCGGCAGTTCCCCCTTCTCCCTCTCCTTCTCCCTCCGCGTCTTTCCTCCCGGAGGCGGTGCGCTGGCTAGCCCCTCTGGGGTGGGCCTGCTCTCCGCCTCCTCTCCTTCTCTCTTCCTCCTCCCCCCTCAGGCGTGCCTGTCGAGGGCATGGTGCCCACCGCGATCCATCGCGCATCGGCGGCAGGTTGCAAGATTCACTCGGCAAGTCGCCCCCGGACGGCGTTTATGCTTTCGGCGGTATTTGAACGAATTCGGTAGTTTCGACTTCGCTTTGTTCTCCTGCTGCCGCTGCCGCTGCTGCTGCTGCTCCTCTTTCTCCTCTGGCGTTCCGATTGTGCGGCATCCGTGCCTTTGAACTTGGTGTTCGGCCTGCTTGGCGATGCGTCGTGGCTTTAGTCACTTCGCCTGGGCGCCCTGGCTGTCGCCACGGGTCGTTGATACGATTGGGTGAAATTCTTGCGTCCTCCGCCCTCTGCTCCCCTCGTTTGTTCCCATCCAGCTTTCTTACAATTGAGTTTACGTGGTCGCTCGCGGAGCTCCGACGCGAGTTAGCCGGTTTCAACAATGTACGCGTTGAGGATGTCGGCTCGTGGGGAAGCAGCTACTACTACTACTACTACTACTACTACTACTACTACTACTACTACTACTACTACTACTACTACTACTACTACTACTACTACTACTACTACTACACCTACTATTACTACTACGACGGCGACGAATCATACCAGTATGACTATCACTTCATTACTACTTCTACTGCGACGACTACTACTACTACTACTACCGCCACTACTACTACTACTACTACTACTACTACTACTACTACCACCACCACTACTACTACTACTACTGCTGTTGCTGCTGCTACTACTACTACTTCTACTGCTACTACTACGACTACTTCTACTACGGCTACTTCTACTACTACGACTACTTCTACGACTACTGCTACTACTGGTACTGCTACTAATGCTACTACTACCACTACTACCACTACTACTACTACTACTTCTGCTGCTACTACTACTACTAGTACTACTACCATTGCTGTTACCATTGAACTTACCACGGCTACGACTGTTGACCTGATTACTATGATTGCTATTACTGCTATCGTTACCATTCCTGTTTAAATTACTCTTCGTATATCGACGACTACTTCCACCACCACTACTACTATTATTACTACCAATATTACGACGACTATTACTAGTACTACTACTACTACCACTACTACTACTACTACTACCACAACTACTATTTCTATTACCACGACCACTGCGACTAATAAGTACTACCATTAGTACCACTACTACTTACACTCTTGCTCCCACGGCTGCTTTATTACCATTATTGTTATCACTACTACTACTAGTGCTATTTGTATTCCTGCTATTTTCACTACTACTACTACTATTACTACTACTAGTACTGTCTCTACCACTTTTACTTCTACTACTACTACTACTACCACTACCACTACTATTACTATTATTACTACTACTACTACATTTTACTACTACTACTACTTTTACTATTGCTACTACTGCTACTACAACTATTATTTCTACAGCTACCACCAATACGGCTACCACTACTGCTACTACTACTACTACTACTACTACTACTACTACTACTACTAGTGCTACTACTACTACTACTACTACTGTTTCTATTACTACTACTACTACTACTACTACTACTACTACTACTACTATTACTACTACTACTACTACTAGTATTAATTCTAGCACTACCACTACGTACTGCTACTACTACTTCTTCTTCTTCTATTACGACCAGTACTATTATTACTACTGCTACTAGTATTACCACTACTAGTACTACTATTACTACTACTACTACTAGTACGGCGACTAGTGCTACTGCTGTGACTATTTTTACTACTACCAGTACTACCAGTACTACTACTACTACTACTACTACTGCTGCTATCAGTGCTACTACTGCTTCAGCTACCACTGCGACTTGCATTACGCATTTTTTCCAAGTGGTACTACTACGAGTATTTCTATTGCTATCTTTTCGGGTACCTCCACCAACGGTGTGCATACTACTACCACTATTACCACTACTACTACTACTACTACTACTACTTCCACTACTACCACTACTACTACTACTACTCCTCTTCCTCCTCCTCCTCCTCCTCTTCCTGCTACTACTACTACTACCACCGCCACCACCACCACCACTACTACTACTACTACTACTACTACTACTATTACTACTACCACTTCTACTACTACTACTACAACGACTACTACGACAACTACTACTACTGCTTTTACGACGAAGACTACTACTACTACTACTACTACTGCTACTACTACTACTACTACTACTACTACTACTACTACTACTACTACTGCTACTACTACTACTACTACTACTACTACTACTACTACTACTACTACTACTACTAACTACTACTACTAACAACAACTACTACTACTACTATACTACTACTACTACTAGTACTACTACTACTACTACTACTACTACTACTACTACTACTACTACTACTACTACTACTACTACTACTACTACTACTACTACTACTACTACTACTACTACTACTACTACTACTACTACTACTACTACTACTACTACTACTACCACCACCACCACCACCACCACCACCACTACTACTACTACTACTACTACTACTACTACTACTACTACTACTACTATTACCACTAATATCGGTATTGCTACAACCACAGCAACAAAAACGACAACTACTGCTACTACAACTACTTCTTGTTCCTCCCCCTCCTCCCACTTCTCCTCCATCCTCCTTCTCTCTCTTTTCCTTTCCTTCATCTCCGCCCCCCTCTTCGTCCTCTTCGTCCTCCTCCGAGATGCGGGGCGTGCGCAAGACCATTGCGATGGCGATGTGCCGTCCGAGCTGTGGATGTCGAGGTTTCTCGGAAGAGGTGGTGGCAATGCCTTCTTGGGCGGGAGATATGGGCGAGGGAATATCGGGCCCCGCATGCCAGAACAATCCCCCATGATGGGGTGTGGTATCCAGAAGGATGCATGTGACATGTGGAAGCATGGCGCATGATGGTGACATGATTTTGTGGTGGTTGTTGTTTTATGGTGGTGGTGGTGATGGTGATGGTGGTGGTGGTGGTTGTTTTTGTCTTTGTGCCACTCCCAGTTCCAAGGATTCATTATTGTTGATCCCCCCCCCTCCGGGGCACATCGTGTTTTTCAATTGAAGTGCCCTTCCTGGGGCTAACCTTGTTTTCACGAGGGAAAGCGAGGGGGCACCAGACTGGGCCACTGGCTCCCGAGTTACAACAACGACGGTTCCCGCTTGATTCTCCCTGGCAACTTATTCCCAAGTCCTTCTTTCGCGCGGCATTTTCTCACACCTTGTACAGGAATCGCACTCTCGCGTGGGACTTCTTCGCCATGTATTCAGCCGCCGCGCCCTCGACATTCTGAAATCACGCTCGCGCTGTGGATTCCGGGACGATTTAGTCGGGAATCGCGGTATCGCTCGAGATTTCTTCGCGATTCATGCAGGACACACGCTTCAGCAACTCGCCTGCTCGACCTGGCCACCTGGGCCCGCTTTCCCAACCCGCCCGTTGGGGCCTACCCGCCGGATCTGCACGTGTGGTTATGCAACATGTTTTTTGCGCCTAGCCCCCCAACCGCTACTCACCTGGTACTCTCTCTCGTGCATTCGTCTCCCTCCCCCCGTGCCCTTTCCTTCCATCCGTCTTTTTTTCACTTGCCTTATGGGGCTACACGAAATGCACGTTGCAGGGAAGGAAGATCGATCCCCCCCGAAAGGGTACGATCGAAGACAAACGGGGCGTGTATCGAGGGTTTGGGGTGTACGTGTTGAGCGGCCCGCGAGCGGGTGATAACGAACATTCTTAAAATGATTATTGCTGTTGTTGTTATTGTTATTGTTGTTGTTGTTGTTGTTGTTGTTGTTGTTGTTGTTGTTGTTATTGTTGTTGTTATTGTTACTGCTGTGGTTGCTGCTGCTGCTGCTGCTGTTGCTGTTGTTGTTGTTGTTGTTGTTGTTGTTGTTGTTGTTGTTGTTGTTGTTGTTGTTGTTGTTGTTGTTATTGTTGGTGTTGTGATGGTGGTGATGGTGGTTGTTGTTGCTTTTGCTGTTGTTGTTGTTGCTTTTTTTTTTTTTTTTTTTTTTTTTTTTTTTTTTTTTTTTTTTTTTTTGCCAGGTGCACCATTGTGTCTTTTCTATTGAAGTGCCCCCCCCGTGGTTCGCCAGAGAGACTTTTGAGCCTCAACTTGGGCCCCTGGTCCCCGAGTTACAGCAACAAGAGCGGCTCTCGCTTGATATTTCCACTCAAGTTGTTGAGAAATGAAACTTTCGCCTGGAACCTCCTTGCGATTTATTCAGGCACCGCGCTCTCGCTTGAACTTTCCTCGCACTTTGTCTATATGCCACTCATCGACACGGCCAGCGGGCCCCCGAACTATAACAACAACGGCTCCCGAGCAATTTGATGTTCGCTTGATGTTTCCTTACGTTCTCAGGAATCGCGCTCTCGTTTGGAATCCCCTCCACAATTCATTCAGATGCCGCCCCTCGACACTAAGGAGTGTTTTTTTCGTTTGGGGCTTTCTTCATATTTTCTTGCGAGTTGCGTTTTCGCTAAATATTTCCTTGCGATTTAAGCATGGTTCACGCTTCAACGACCCGCCCGCTCGACCCGCCCGTCGGGGCCCGCCCCTTAGGGACTGCAGTCGTCTCTCGCTGCCCATCGCCGCTCTTCTTGCCCATCGCTGCCCGTAGCGGTTCTGCGGTCGCCTTCGTTCGCGCTATTCGTGGCCCTGTCGCTGCCTTTTGGTGGCCCCGCATTACATGGTCTTCGTGACACCCGCTCGCACGCGCCCGTCGTGTCCCCATATGCGTGCCCTGCGTGGCCTCGCTGGCGCCCTTCGTGGCCCCCTCGCTGCCCTTCGTGGCCACATTGCCGCCCTTCGTGGCCCCGCTGTCGCCCTCGGAGGCCCCGCATTAAATGCCCTTCGTGGCCCCCGCTCGGTCGCGCCCGTCGTAGCCCCATATGCATGCCGTTCGTGGCCCCGCTGTCGCCCTTCGTGGCCCCCTCGCTGCCGTTCGTGGCCCCGCTGCTGAATTTTCTGGTCCCATATACGTATGCTCGTTGCCCCCCGCTCGCTTGCGCCCGTCGTGTCCCCATTTGCATGCCTTTCGTGGCCCCGCTGTCGCCCTTCGTGGCCCCCTCGCTTTCCTTCGTGGCCCAGGTGCTACCTTTAGCGGCCCTGTCGCTGCCGTTTGAGGCTCCGCATTGTATGTCTTTCGTGGCCCCCGCTCGCTCGCACCCGCCGTGGCCCCATACGCATGCCTTCGTGACCCCGCTGGCGCCCTTCGTGGCCCCTTGGCTGCCCCTCGTTGCCCCCTTACTGCCCTTCGTGGCCCCACTGCCGAATTTTCTGGCCCCATATACGTATGCTCTTCGTGGCCCCCGCTCGTTCGCGCCCGTCGTGGCCTCATATGCATGCCCTTCATGGCCCCGCTGTCGCGTTTCGTGGCCCCGTCGTTGCCCTTCGTGGCCCCGTTGCTGCCTCAGTGGCCCCATCCTTCCCCTTTCTGCGACCCCACATACGTATGCCGTTCGTGGCCCTCGTTCGCTCGTGCACGTCGTGGCCCCATATGCATGCCCTTCGTGGCTTCGCTGTCGCGTCTCGTGGCACCCTCACTGCTCTTCGTGGCCCCGTTGCTACCGTCAGTGGTTCCGTCATTGTCTTCTGTGGCCTTGCATTATATGTCCTTCGTGGCCCGCGCTCGCTCGCACCCGTCGTGGCCCCATACGCATGCCCTTCGTGGCTCCGCTGTCGCCCTTCGTGGCCCCCTCGCTGCCCTTCGTGGCCCCATCACTGCCCTGCCCTTTGTGGCCCCGCTGTCGCCCTCTCTGGCCCCATGTACGTCTGCTCTTCGTGGCCCCCGCTCGCTCGTGCTTTTCGTGGCCCCATACGCATGCCCTTCGTGACCCCGCCGTCGGCTTTCGTGGCCCCGTCGCTGCCCTACGTGGCCCCGTTGCTGTCGTTCGTGGCCCCGCTGTCGCCTTTTTGGCCCCTATATACGCATCCTCTTCGTGGCCCCCGCTTGCTCGCGCCCGTCGTGGCCCCATATGCATGCCCTTCGTGGCCCCGCTGTCGCCCTGTCTGGCCCGATAGATGCATGCCCTTCGCGGCCTCCGCTCGTTGCCCCCTTACTGCCCTTCGTGGCACCACAGCCGAATTGTCTGGCCCCATATTCGTATGCTCTTCGTCGCCCCCGCTCGTTCGCGCCCGTCGTGGCCTCATATGCGCATGCCCTTCGTGGCCCCGCTGGCGCCCTTCGTGGCCCCCTCGCTGCCCTTCGTGGCCTCCGCTCGTTCGCGCCCGTCGTGGCCTCATATGCGCATGCCCTTCGTGGCCCCGCTGGCGCCCTTCGTGGCCCCCTCGCTGCCCTTCGTGGTCCGGTGCCGCCTTCTGGCCCCGTCCTTGCCGTCTACGGCCCCAAATACGCATGCCTTTCGTGGTTCCATATGCATGCCCTTCGTGGCCCCGTTGTCGCCCTTTGTGGCCTCCTCGCTGCCCTTCGTTGCCCCGTTGCTACTCTCCTTGGTCCTGTCGTTGCCCTCTTTGGCCTCGCATTATATGCCCTTCGTTGCCCGTCTGTGGCCCATTCGTCGTTGTCGCCGTCGTCGTCGTCGTCGTCGTCGTCGTCGTCGTCGTCGTCGTCGTCGTCGTGGTCGGTCCCGTGTCCGTCCCTCTACGGGTCGGGTTGCCGCCGATCAGCGTTGCCGTTGGCTAAGCCGACGGTCCGCGGCCGCCCCGCCGCTAGCGGGGGCCCGGCCTGCAGGGAAGAAATATACACCGCCGAAAGGGGGTACGATCGAAGACGAAGAGGGCGGGTATCGGGGGGCTGGGAAATACGCATTGAACGATACTCGAGCAGATACGAGCGAACAGTCTCAAAATGATGACTGCTGTTGCTGTTGCTGTTGCTGTTGTTGCTGTTGCTGTTGCTGTTGCTGCTGCTGCTGCTGTTGCTGTTGCTGCTGCTGCTGCTGCTGCTGCTGCTGCTGTTGTTGTTGTTGTTGTTGTTGTTGTTGTTGTTGTTGTTGTTGTTGATGTTGTTGTTGTTGTTGTTGTTGTTGTTGTTGTTGTTGTTGTTGTTGTTGTTGTTGTTGTTGTTGTTGTTGTTGTTGTTGTTGTTGTTGTTGTTGAATGTTGAATACTCAACAACTATTGTTCTTGGACACCTTATAGGTGCTCTGGCGCTCTCGCCGATGCGCCGGCTACATTTTCATTGAAAATGAGGCTCACGCTCGAGCGGTTTGGGGGACCGCCCAAACTGGCTCCCCAACAACAACAACGCTCCCGCTCGAGACTTCCCCCTTCTTTACTCAGGGCTGGTGTTCTTGCTCACCGCCGAAAGCCGCCGTCCTAACAAAACCAGCGCTCTCGCTCGAGACTTCCTTCCGTTTTACCTTGGACTGGCGCGCCAGTCTTTCTCTCATTGGCGCCGCCCCCAGCAAAAACAACGCTCCCGCTCGAGATTTGCTCACTTTTTTACTCAAGGCGGTGCTCCTCCTCGACGCCGGAAACCGCCGCCCCGACAAAACCAGCGCTCCCGCCCGAGACTTCCTTCCGTTTTACGCTGGACTGGCGCCCAACTCTTTTTTGAATTGGCGCCGCTCCCAGCAAGAACAACGCTCCCGCTCGAGGTTCCTCCCTTTTTCCTGAAGACGGTGCTGTTCCTCGCCGCCGACAACCCCCATCCCGACAAAACCACGGCTCCCGCTCGATGCTTCCTCACTTCTTACTCAAGGCGGTGTTACTCGCCGAAAACTGCCACCCCGACAAAACGACCGCTCCAGCTCGAGGCTTCCTCCCTTTTTCCTGAAGACGGTGCTGTTCCTCGCCGCCGACAGCCCCCGTCCCGACAAAACCATCGCTCCCGCTCGATGTTTCCTCCCTTCTTATTCAAGGCGGTGTTCCTCCTCGCCGCCGAAAGCCGCCGTCCCAACAAAACCAGCGTTCCCGCTCGAGACTTCTTTTTGTTTTACGCTGGACTAGTGCCCTACTCTCTTCAGCATTGGCCCCGCTCCCAACAACAGCAGCCCTGCTCTAGACTTCCTCCCTTTCTATTCAGGGTCAGGTCCTTGCCTCACCGCCGACAGCCCCCATCCCCACCAAGGCAACCCTGTCGTTCGATACTTCCTTGTGCTTTACCCTTCTCTGGGGTTCCACTGTCGGTCTCGCATCGGCGCAGCAAGGCGCGGGCATGTGTTTCCGAGGCGGGATATGTTGAAATTCCTCGGAGGAGGTGTTTGCAAGACCACATTGGGCGGGATATCTGGGAATGGGAATACCGGACCCGCTATAGAACACGAGTCCCCCATTACGTGGATGGTGATCATGATGGTCGCATGCTTCGTGTGACAACATCGCACATCAGGGTAAACTGATTGTTGTTGTTTTCATTGTTGTATTTGTTGTTGTTGCTGCTGTTGTTATTCTCGGAAGGCCTTCTGAGAGGTCCCGCCCCCTCTCACTTCCCCCTTGGGTCGCCGCCACGATTCTCCCTTGGGAACTTCGTCGCTAGCTATCGGCTACCCCTGGGAAAGCTGGAGGGCCGCTGGCGGAGGGAGCGAGTGCCGGGTGCAGCGGAAGGAGAGGGAGGGGCCTCGGAACGGGGGAGGACCCACAGAGGGATCGATGTGGAGTTGGCGCCTGGGGCGGATGGGGGCGAGGCGGTGGCGAGCGAGAGACAGAGAGGGTCAGCATCGTCTAACCGATCCTCATCCACACTGGGCCATGCCATCTCAGCCCTACCAGCCCAATCCCCAGGTGGGGATGGACTCCGCGAGAACCGAAAGAAACAGCATACATCCCCATCTGGGGGGGGTGTAATCTGGGCAGTAGGGCCAGGGCCATGCCAGTGGGTATGGGGAGGTTAAACGATGCTCAGAGGGGTCCCGCTTCTCTTGGCCCGCTGATCCGCCAAGGACGTCTCACCGAGCCTTCGGCCAGTGACCGAGCCAGGAGGAGGCCGAGGTGCTCGATGCCACATCGGCGCGCCGCGCGTGTGCCGGGCGGCGGCAGCGAGCTCTGCTCATGGGGAGCGTAGTGCTCGCTTTTGGGCGGAGCGTGGAGCATCGAACACGCCTGCGGCGACTCAGCACCCCCCCCGATCCTTCTACGTCTCTACGTCCGTGTGGTAAAATGTCGAACGTGGTTGCGGCCATGCTAGTGGACTGCGTGTTCCCCAAGTGCTTGGGGACACCACTGGGGGCAACACTGGGAAGGGGCCATCTGAGGTCATCTTAGGCTGGGCCGTCATGGCCACCTCAGCCAAAGTTGGAGGCCGTCTTGGGCCCTCTCGGGCCGTCTTGCAGGCCATCTGGAAGGCCACCTTGAGTGATCGTCTAGGAGTCTGTCCTGGGCCACCCTGGCCATCTTAAAAGCTAGTTTTATGAACTTTATATCTCTGTTTTTTCGATGTCTTCTGGGTGGCCGGCGGGACCGACCGAAGGCCACTGAGAACCTTTCGAAAAGGCCAGACAGTCCTCAAACATTTGGCACGCCAAGCACCCTTGCGACAAGCCAAAGGGGGCAGCGGAACCAGCGCGGTCTTCGGCCCATCTCACCACCGAGCTTAAATTTTGGATTTCGGGCGCGTTCGGAACGGTTGAGGTGAACAAGGCTTTCGCCGCCATGTTCCTGGAGAGTCCCCATGGAAGCTCAAAGGAACAAACTCGGGTATAACGATTCCCTATGACGTGTGTTGTCTCTCCAGCCTTCTATCAGCGTTCCCAGCCGTGTTTTTTGACGTTTCTGCGGAGGGCTCTGCCGAACATGGTTTGGGAGCACTGCGGCTTGATCATTCTCGCCCATCTTCATGGAGAGCCCTCCTGGAGGGCTCCCAGGCACATGATTGGGTATACGCTGGCTTCCTGAGGTGCGGGTCACCTGCCCCGCTAGGGGTGCAGCCTGCCAGGCCTAAGCGAAGGTGCGCAGGAATGCCCAGGGGCCCACGGGGTGTGCCGGGAAAGTCTATGGAGCGTGACGGTTGGGGAATGCCCAGGTCCCCACGCGGCAGCGACGGCGGCGACTTACGATGTGGTCTTCCCGCGATCAGTCCGAACCGCAAGGAAACGGGTTGGAATCCAGGCTCCCTTGCGTGCTTCGAGATGGCTCGAACGGCCCTTCTTGGTGCTCTCTTGGGGGTCTTTGGGCAGAGTTGGCCTGGTGGTTTGCCCCCAGAGGCCCAAAGCAGGAAAGGTCAAGAGATGTTTCATGATTGTTCTTTACACCGGTAGCTGCAGAGTTTTAACATAGGTCATCAGTAACAACAACAAAACGTACGTTTTCCTTCCCTGTGTGGTCGCAAGCTCCCATCTTGGAGGATCCGTGCTTTTGTACTGGATCCTGCTCCCGTGTGCGCCCGTGCGGGGATGGTGCGTCCCAGGTCTAGACCCTAGTGAGTCCCAGGTGTCAAACCTCTACCAGCATCGAAGCCCCAATGCAAACACCGTCAGGCTACCGCGCAAACCCTGACACACAGCCAACAGGCGTCCTCAAGACCCCCAATCGTGCGGAGGGCACGGTGACGGATTCGGGGCCATCGGTGAGCTGAAGGCACCCCACTATTTGCCAGAGGCATTGTGGCGGGCATGTCCTTTGGCGCGCACGCCCCTCAAGGGAGCAAGATGTCCAGCGGTTGGAGGCCGCGGAGGCGCGGTTTCGTGTTTTGAGCGATGCACGCGTCCGCCAGAGTTGCGCTCGCGCGCGTGCACGCGTGTGTGCGCTGGTACGCACGTCATTTAGGATGCAACTCTTGGGAGGTGGAGGCTAACTCAATTCAGCATCGACGTTGGTATAGCAGTGGTCGAAGACCAGCCCATTCCAGCACAGCCAAATCTAAATCCGCTGAATGTCGTTTAAACGGAATCGGGCTTGATCCCACTTCATCTCGGCTGATGGCCCATCCATCGGGCTTAATAGCCTCTGATCGTTCTTACGAAGACCTCCCAAAAAATGCTTCCTAATGTCGCGCTGCAGGTCTTTCAAGCTGTTGCACTCTTTTCCAGAATCATCGCGCAATGCCATTCTGTACACGCGCAAGCATCTTAGGATCTACCTTCGGTGACCTCCGAGGCAGCCAGGGGCGCTCGAGAGCAACCGTGCTGCCTGCCTGCCTCAATCCCCCAATTCGTTGTGTATCAGCAGTTTGTTGACCTCGCGTCTCGGTGGTTAGATGATTTTGGAGGGAGATGGGAGGGTGGAGAGGCAGGGAGGGGTAAGTGTGAACTCGTCGAAGCACTCGAAGTCTCCAACTCCCCTCGAATCGAAGTCCGAATCTCTGCCAACTTCTCCTCGAACACCGTCCCTTACTATGCTCTGCACGCGGGGGGCGGTGATGGTAACCTTTTCGGTCAGTCGAGAGGCCTCTCGAGCTCACAACGGCAACGGTCAAACGTGCCGTCACTCTCTGCTGCTAGCTATGTCCTGCCACTGGGCCTCCAGGGGCCTCCAGAGGGAAAAGCATCTAACAACATTATGTCAGAACATTGTATGGAGTGCAATTCACACTGGTGAAAAAGGGAATGACAACTCGTATAAACCCTCAAATTGATCACATGAAAATCTGCACAACTGATAGCATATCGTCACACAAATAGATCAAGCAACACAACTACGCTCGAGAGAACTGCGCCACACACCGTGTCGCAAGAAAACCTCTGCTGAAATAAATAGCTTCATTGCGAGGAAGGGGGGGAAGGAAAAGAAACGAGACTGGAACAGGATGCAATTCAAGATTTGCCGGGGTGCCTTCACTCACTGTGCGGCTTCTGCTGCACTGTATGCAGCTCGCGGGAAATCTCCCAGCCTCGTCGAAAACCGTTCGTCACATGCTTGTACTGTCCGTACTGTCCATCCGGTAGACCAACACTCGTGTAGTGGACCGGGCCCTGGCTGGCAGCCGACGTCCCGCTTGATGGCACTCAGCTTGATGTTCCTCTCCTTCTCTGGCTTGGTCTGTTCCCACTACTTCTCTGGCTTGGGCTCTAGTGTGTCCTGGACCTTCGTCTCCTTCTGCGAAACCGTGCAGATCACGTAGCATATGAAAGCTACGAGCGCCAACAACATCATCATGTTGAAGGCTCCTTGCACCAACGTGCTCAGCGGTATCTTGAACACTCTCCGCGGGCTCTTGGTCCACTCGAACTCCACCAGGGCCGTCTCGATCTCACTGTCATAGATCTTCACCTCGCTGGCTGCGGCTGACCTCGACAGAGACGCCATGGTTGCCATCGCTGCTGTCGCACTCGTCTTCGACCTTGACGTGGCAAACCTCTTGGCCTCCTCCTGTCGGTCCTTGGCCGTCTTCTTCTTCGCCGCCTGGAACTTCTCATCGAACTTCAGGCTGATCGTTCCCGTCCTGAGTCGATCGGCCAGTAGCTGTCTGGCTACCAGCTTGGTGAAGACGTCTGCGAACTGTCGCTCTGAGCTGACCCAATACCAGCCAGTAGCACTCGCTGTCATACGCTCCTTCAGCACTTGCACCTCGATGCCCGTCCGCTTGTCATCGAAGTTGTGCACGTGTGGCTTCTGAGCTGCGTCGTAGGGAGCCTTGGCGTCCACCACGAGCGCACTCCTTCCCAGCACAGTCATCGTGCCGTTCAGCCTCGGGTCGCGAGTCGGGTCAAGCATCAGGCTGAAGTGTACCTTCACATACTCGAGCGCGTCCACGCCTCCGGCTGCAGCTTGGGCCTCACTCGCTAACGAGGACCTGCTAACCCTCGGTAGCTTCCATGAGCGCCAGTCGACCACCACGTACCTGACGGTCTCGCCGACCAGCACACTCCTGTGCGCCGCTAGGATGAGGTATCCTCCTTGCGAGCTTCCATCACGTCTAACTGCCCACGCTGCGTCCGTCATGCAAATTAACGTCACTTCGTCCAGGTCGTCGCATGTCTTGGCAAACATCTGGCACACGTCGCTATTCGCCTTGGCAAACCTCAGCGTCTTGTTGGCCTCCACCAGATCCTTCACGGTAGAGCCCTCATTGATCGTCCCTTGTCCCAGGCTGACGCTGCACTGTAGATGGGGTGCCGCCTGGTTGCTGGGCCAAGCCAAGCTTCCCATCAATCCTCGTAGCTGTCGACGCTCGCCCTCGGTGATTGGCAAGTTGTAGTCGCTCGCTCGGTTCTTGGCCAAGGTGATGGGCTTGAGCGACTTGATGTAGGCTGCACAACTCATCTGATAATCTCCGTTCGTCGTCTTGGTGAGCTGGTTGCCATAGAAATCCATAGAAGCGTCGCCTGCGATGTTCAGGGTGCCAGTGTTCGTGTCTTCCCACGTCCTGAAGTTGAAAACCTTCTTGAGCTCCTTCACGCGCGCCGAGAAACATGCCTGGCCCTCCTGGCTGCTGCCGCCTCCGAGCATATCGTCAAAATGTAGCCCGATGGCGCCGTCGAACACCTTGGTGTTGGTCGCGTCCAGGCGGTAGCTCAGGAAAAGGCAGGGGTCCAGCGGGTGAACCACGAAACCACGCGCAATCATGCGGTCGGTAGTTTCTTCCCACCAAAGCCTCGGTGCGTCGCTCAGTCCGGACACACTCTTGAGTAGTTTCATCCTCTGGCCCGGCTGGTAGCCAAGCATCCTGCACGCCTCCGCCGGTACAAGCACAGAAATCCCACGATCCGAACGCTCGCCCTGCAGAAACGCGGTGCTGGCGTCCGCGGTGAACAGGGTCCAACCGTGAATGCGGCCGAGCATCACGATGAAGGTTCTGCTCAATCTTGTCATAGTCGGCGAGGATTTGGCCAGCTTCCCTGCAATCGCGTCTGGATCTCGGAACCCTTGGATAACCAACCTGGCCCTGTAGCTTCCGTCGGCGTTCCTCGACCACTTCAGTAGGAACCTCGCGCGCAAAACCTTTTTGGGGTCGCGGACCTCATTCTTGTCCTGCTCCCAAACCTGGTTGTCGAAGAAGCTCTGCAGCTCCGCGCGCTTCGCCTCCGCGAACTTGGCCTTGTCCTCCGCGTTCATGTTCTTCTCGCTCAGCTCGCCAGCCAAGTAGCGCTCCTTGTAGTCTAGGAAGAACGCCTGGTCCTCTGCGTTGTAGCTCCAGCCCTTGGGTAGCGCGTCAAAGTCCAGAAACATTACTTCCTGTTGGATCTCCACTTTGTCGTAGGGTCCCTTCCGGTTGTCTCGCCGATCTCGATGCGCCGCGAACGTCCGCATTGGAGCCATCTCCGATGCATCGATGTTCCTCCGCATCTCCTTGAACCTCGCCGCTGGGTCAACGATCATTGGCTGAGCCAGTGCCGTCTGTGCTTCTGGAACCTCTGTTGCATTTGGTACTTGTTCTTGAGCTGGCTGTTGCTATAACTCCATGTCATCATCGTCCGGTATCGCCGTGTCGTCCGCCGTCGGTGGTGGGTCCTCGTTGCCTGCTGGCCTCGTCTCGGCCTGCGGCTCGGAACCCTGGGCAGACACCTGCGTGGGTTGACCATCCATGGCCTGCTCCACCGTCGGTGCCCCTCCAGCTGCAGCAGCTGTCTCGTCCGCCTCCATCGGCTCGTCCCTCCTCGGTGGGTCCGGCCACTGGCTGATATCGAAGAACTGCACGATACCTCCACGTTGTAGTCCTTGTAGAGTGGTCTGTGCTGCCTGTAGGTTCACCGGTCGTCTAGGCTCGTCGATCCGCTCCACGATGGGTCTGATCTGGTCTGGGCTGCATCGCAGTAGGCTCCCGCCGTGCGTGACTCAGTAGACCCCGGGCTGGCCGCTCTCCGCGTCCTCACGTGGAGCCACGGTGGCCGGCCCTCTCCAGCGTGACTTTTGAAGCCTGCTAGCTCCACGATCACGCCAGTAGTAGCACTCGTCACCCACGCTCACTGCCTCATGGATGTCACGTCTCTTGCGCAGGAATGCTCTGCGCAGCCTCTCCGTCGAATCCGCCTTGATGAATGCCATTGCCGCTGCCGCTCGCCGCTGCATCGCCTCTTGGAACGTCTCCTCCTCCAGGTAGGCCTCTGCCGCCGGCACGGACAGCGTGTCTGCGGACAGGGAGTCGTTGAGCTCCGGGTTGTAGCCCAGAACCCCCTTGTGCCGGACTGAAACCCTTGTGATGCATCATCCTGTTGATCTGATTGGGCACGTAGTCCAACGCTGCCTTCAAGTTCTCGATGGTGCGCGCCTGGCCAGTTTTCTCGAACCAGAGCTCCAGCGTCTCGCGCATCACCTGATGTGCCCGCTCCACTGGTCCCATGACATGGTGAGCCTCCCCGGGGGCGATCTGCATCTTAATGTTCTGGCCACTGGTCCAGTCGAGCATCTCCTGACTGCACGCTGTGCCACACTCGTCCATCACGAGCCTCGTAGGTGTACCGTAGTGCCTGATCCATTCCTTCTCGATGGACTTGATGGCCTCGGCTGTCGTTTCGCGCGACACGATCCTGCACTTCTGGAAATGGCTAGCTCCGTCCAGTAGGTGAGCGATCTTCGCCGAGCCTGATCGCAGCTTGAGCTCGAAGAAATCCATGTACAAAGCCTGGTTAAATGTCTTCCATGATGGTGGTGCCGACTTCGGTGGTTGTGATGCCTTCTTCCGCTCTGCGCATGTCGCACACAAGTACCGTTTCGCACAGGCTATCACCTCCTCTTTCGCATCCGCCGTCGTCAGCATCCGCACGAAAACCTCCGTGCTGGGGTGGCCAAGGTTCTCGTGGAGACGCTCCACATACCTGAACACATTCTGGCCGAACTCGCTCCTCAGCTGCCTGTTCTGGTACGTCTCCTTCGCTTCATTGCTGCTGTCGTCCACCGTCGCATGGTAGATATACTCCACCGCGTCCTCGCCTTCCTCGATGTCCAGGACCAGGATGTCCGTGTCCTGAACGTGGGGCTGCTCCAACAAATCACTGAGAATCTGCGCCATCAGGGGCCCATAGTTCTCGGCGAAGCTCGTGCGGTGCAAGTTTGCACCAGGAATCTTGCCCTCCAGGTGGACATGCTCATGCTGTTTGTCGCACAGGTACTGGTAGAGTCCTTCTGCCATTCCTCGTCGTGTAGTGCGAACTCCAGTCCTCTTGCGAGCTAGGCCTTCCCCTGGAATCTCCAATCCCGTCATACACTGGTCGAAAAGCACATGGTGTCCAGGCAGCTCGTAGAGCGCCTTCGTCCTGCAGCTGCGTGCTGTCGCTGGCTGCTCCAGGTGCGCATCTGGACCTCAGTGCCATTGCTTGAGGTAGACCT